CACACACACACACATGTTCTTACAGAACAGTGACCTCTGGGCAGTCTGTGCAGGGTAATCTCTCACACGCACAGGCACACACACACACACATATTCTTGCACACGTGCAGACTCATACAGGCACTCTTTCTCACATACAGACTCTATTTTCTCCTCTCCCTCATACATACACACTGTCTCCTCTTTCTCTCTCTCACTGAAAGAACCGTTCCCTGGGCTCAAGATGTTTTTGTGTCTGCCCAGAGACACAGTGGCTGCTTCTGCTGCCCTACAACAATTATAGAAACAGGCTGACGGATGAAAAGCTGATCCGTGTGTCTGGCATCGCCCAGGTTGAGGAAACAGGGAGGTCCATGCTGGTCCTGAAAGATATCTCTCTGGAGCCGCCCCACTTATCTACTGAGGTAAGTCTGCTGGACAGAGCTGGGGCTCAGGGGCCTCTGACTAACCCAGTGTTTACTGAGCCCCTGCCAGGGATGGGAACCCAGCCGTGGACAAACACAGTCCTGCCTTCAGACAAACCAACAATGAAAGCGCGGTGTGGGGCGGTCTCTTGCCGCGCTCTGTACGAAGTGCGGAAGGGTATGAAGGCTTCTTAGAGGGGGTGAAATTTTGCGAAAGATGCGTAGGAAGGCATGGTGCAGGTATAGGGAGGTGGGGGTGAGGGTGGAGGCATTTTAAGTGAGGAAATAGCTTGGCAAAGGCAAAGAGACACAATAGGCAGTGCCTGGGAGTTGGAGTAGACACACTTGAGAGATACCACAAGGTCAAATTCAAAAGGTGGCTGGTGATAAGATGGGGGTGACAAGGAAGAGGGAGACAAATGAATGTCTAGTTCAGATGCCTGAGTAGCTGGCAAGGCCGTTAAATGAGAAAGGAATTGCAGGTGGAGGCAGGGTCAGTGGAGGGGGGCAGATACTCTTCCCCATGTCCTGTTGCTAGGATTTCCTTTCCCCTGAAGCCTCTCCTCACCTCGCCCTCCCACTCCGGAAGACCTTGCCCACTGCCTAATCCAACCCTGGCACTGCACCTGGGGGCCTGTCAGCAGCACATCCCACCTCCATATCGTAAATCACCTGGCCTGCCTGACAGCTTTCACCTGGGTACACTGGCAGGTTGTGTGGTCAGAGGATGCCAGGCAGCCTCCATGGTGGGGCCAAGAGTGGGCAGGATCAGAAGAGCAGACACAAGCCTGGTGCTGAGGTAAGGGCCCTGCCCGTTACCGCAGAGCCCTGGTTACAACAGGATCCTGACGCAAACAGATCAGATGCCAAGGAGGCCATTGATTGGTCCCGTCGGTAAGGGCCTGGGGATGCCTTGTGTAGCTATGCTGGATTCCAAAGTTACTTTAACCTGGTCTACTTTGACACCGTCATTAGGGTGCAAAGGCTTGGTTCTTTCATTTGAATTCCAGAGAAGTCAGGATGTGTTCTTCCTTCTCCTCTGTTCTCTGGCTGAGGCAGGACATGCCTCCAGTATCATCAGGGTGGTTGGAGTTCATTCCGGTTCACATACGTTTACTGAACAGCCAGCATTGGGCTGGCACTGGGCTAGGTGGGGGCTGGGGCTACAGAAATAAGTATGACAGAATCTTTTCTTCCCACTGACAGGACCCCCAGGAGGACTAGAAAAGCTGCCCCATGACACAGTGATTACCTGAAAGCATCTGGAAAAAGGCAGCATGTGTTCTGCAGATGTATCTGAAGACAGAGCAGTGTGGGGGAAAGACCTGGACTGGGGCCTAGGACACCTGGCTCAGGTCTTGGCTCTGCTATTAACACATGTGACCTTGGCCTCGGTGTCCTCATTTGCAGAATGAAAGGGTGGAATGACATTAATGGCACATAGATGGCGCACATGACA